GTCCCTGAGTTTCCCCTCCTCACCTAATCCCTTTGGCTGATTGCTCTTCTCTTTGGCTTCCTGGGTTTTACCCCTTTCTCTTGCTCTCCAGGCCTGCTACTCTGTGCTACGCCTGTGCTTACCCAACTAGGGCCCAACTAGGGGAGAGAAAAAAAGACATCACTTTAGACAGGAGTAAGGGTGAAAAAACCTTTCATGTCTTGTTCAGTGCGAAATATCCTCCCCAGTACAAAACCAACTATATGGAATCTTGCCACATCTATAATGTAGATAGGCAAAATCTATTCCAGGTCAGGTTTGAATAGTCAAACAGAAGTTGGATGATTGATGTTCTTGATGTCATCCCACAATTCTTCTGGTTTTCGATCACTGGTGTTCAGTGCATCAAATCTAGTCTTTAGATGGTCCCTAAATTCAGGAGGGATACATTCCACATTATACTTTCACTCTTGTGGACTTGTTTTGTCTTCAACTTCAAGTTGAACTTGCATATGAGCAACTGATGGTTTGTTCCACAATCAGTTCCTGGCCTTGTTTTGGTTGAAGATATTGAGATTTTCCATCGCCCCTTGCCACAGATGTAGTCAGTCTGATTCCTGTGTACTACATCTGGTGAAGTCCATGTGTATAGCCACCATGTGTTGCTGAATAAATATATTTGCAAAGAATAAGTCGTTGGTCTTGCAAAATTCTATCATGTGATCTCCAGCATTATTTCTGTCACCAAGGCCAAATTTTGCAACTACCGGTGATTCTTCTTTGTTTCCAACTTAAACATTCCACTCACCAGTGATAATTAACACATCTTGACTGCACGTTTGGTCAATTTCAGACTGCAAAAGATGATAAAAAAAATCTTCAATTTCCTCGTCTTTGGCTTTGGTGGTTGGTGCATAAATGTGAATAACAGTCATATTAATTGGTCTTCCTTGTAGGCATATGAATACTATCGTATCACTGACAGCATTGTACTTCAGGACAGAACTTGAACATTCTTTGGATGATGAATGCCACGCCACTCGTCTCCATATTGTCATCCCCAGCATATAGTTGATCATATGGTTCCCTGATTCAAAATGGCCGAAACCAGTCCGTTTCAGCTCACTAATGACAAGGATATCAATGTTTATGTCTTCCATTTTCCTAGATTCATACTTGGTACATTCCATCTTCCAATTATTAATATATGTTTACAGCTGTTTCTCCTCAATTTGAGTGATGCCACATCAGCAAATGGAGGTCTTGAAAGCTTTACCTTATCCGTATCTTAAGGTTGGTCCGACTTTGGTGATGGAGCTCTTTCCTAGTCCTCTTTGAAAGCCTTCTGATCTAAGGGGCTCATTCTCCTGCACTGTATCAGATAATGTTTCCGGGCTATTCACAAAGTTGCACAGTAATGTACCAGACAATGTTTCTCTGCTATTCATTAGGTTTTCCCTGGCTAATTCTTTGAGAAGTCGATGGCCTCTTCCTGCTTCCTAGTCTGTCTCAGTCTGTAAGCTGTATTTAAACCTGTGTACTATGTGCAACCCTGCCATGACTTGAAACACCAGCGGCACAGCCTCAAGCCTCACAGTAACACACAAGCCAGGATAGTATGAGCCAGAGGGGACGACAGAGCAGAGCAGCAGGCCATTAACTTAAGTTCATTGTAAGTCCCATGGAGATGATTGCCAGTCTCATTGTGGGAAATAACTACCACCAGCTGCCCAGCCACTCAACCAGGCCCAGCCAAGTTGCCACACAAACATAACTACCACAGTTCCACCCCTTATCAACTGTACAGATCTTCATTGGGTGGCATTTATACAGGTCTCCTCCACTGGGTGGCGCCAGTCCCCTAGTTTCTCTAAGTAGCGACCTAACCCCCTAGGCCTGACGGGTCCCCTTTCCTCTCCCTCTTAGGCATGGCAGCCCCACCTCCTCACTCTTGGGCAGTGGCTATGGCTCCATCGCACTGGCTCACAAGAATGAGCAGCCCCACACTCCAGGACCAAACTGGTGAAGGCCTGGCTCTTTGAAACCTAGGGGGCTGTGATTGTTCCACCCCCAAAGGCCATGGCCCTACCCTTTCAGGCTGAGGCAGCTCTGCTTCTGTTTCCTTGGTCTCTCCGTTTCTGTCAATTAATCCCCAAGGGCAACACACTCTGCCAGGAATCTTCTTGCTCCAAAGGACATTTAGCTTTCTTGCACCATGGGCCTGCCAGCCTGCTACTTCATTTCATGCCAGTCTTTTCTACCAATTAATGCCCAAAGGGAACCCACTCCGCCAGTAAGCCGTCTAACCAAAGGCATCAAGCTTTCTCCTCTGTGGGCTGGTAAGGCTATCATTGTCTCATGCTGGTTCTCTTGACTCTGCTCCTGCCATCTCTCATGCCGGTCTCTTGCTCTGCTCCTGCTGTCTGTCATGCCATATGCCAGGGTCTCTCTGCCAGGATCTTGGGTCAAGGATGCACTCCACTCCTGTTTCCACATTTTAGGTATCTGGCAGAGCAGCACCCAACTCTCTTGGTACCACATTCTGTTCTGGTTCCCTAGTGCCACTCTCACAGAAATATATACCACAAATGGGATGGCCTTAACAAACAGGAGTTTATTCTTACAATTTGGAGGCTTTAAGTCCAAGTTCAAAGTGGTAGGCTCTAAGGGCTAGGTGAAAGCACCTCAACCTTGGGGTCCAGCTCTGGCTCCTGCTCCCGGTCCACTGGAGCTAGAGGCATTTCTTCACTCAGACAGCTGCAGGCTGCTGAGGCTGAGAAGCCCTAAAGTTGACAAGTAAAAAGGCACAGTCCTGATGTTACTGAACCACACGGCAGGCCATTAACTTAAGTCCAATGTAAGCGCCAAGGTCGGCAGAGCATACCAGGCTGCTGAGCAATGACACGGCTACATGCAGGGTCCAAGCATGCCCTAGGCTAGAGACCATTCTCAAAGCTTCTCCTTCTATACAGGAAGCAGACCGCATCCCAAAGTGAGCTACTCAGCTGCTTGTGGTAGATCCCACCATGGAGATGACTGCCAGTCTCATCATGGGGAATAACTACCACCAGCTGCCCAGCCACTCAACAAGGCCCAGCCAAGTTGACACACAAACATAACTACCACAGTGCCCACAACAGAAGAATGGATAACTAATCTATGGCACATACACAGAATGGAATACTATGCAACCCTAAAGAGATGGATTCACACAGTGGCTGTCACGATGGGCTCGCGTGTAGCAGCAATTGTGAGGTTGCCGCAGGACAGGGCAGTGTTTCATTCTGTTGTACACAGGGTTGCTATGAATCGGAGCTGAGTCATCAGCACCTAACGACAACATGAATTTGTTGCTGTCATTTTTTTATGTTTTTTCATGGTGTTCCTGATTACTTGTTTCACATAATTGTCAGTGCTAAGCTCATTTTGTTTATTGTGTTATCACTTCATTCGTTGGTACTGTTTTAATATTTGCTAAATATTTGTGCTTATCCTCTTTTTTATTTTGATGTGAAGGTTTATTATTTTTCTTTGAGGTTACCCTATGATTGATAATTTTCTTTCCAGATTTACAGCAGTCTGTTCTATCTCATGATTGTGTTGACTTCCTCACCATTTAGAAGGATTGTTAATACACTATTTATTCCCTCTTTTTGCTTTGTAGTTGTCTTCATTAGCCAATTGATGTCTCTGCTTCACTGTTTACCATATTGTAAGCTTATTTTACTTTGGATACTTCTGTAACTGGGTTGGTTTCTACATTGCAGCATCATGTGTGCTAATCATCAGTTGTGGTTTCCATTGTTGATTCTCTGTCTGAAGGACTCCCTTTAGCATCCCTTGTAAAGCTGAAGACCAGATATTCCTTACAAACAGCTCCCTACCCTGTATAGGAATCATTGCCTCAGAGAATGTCCACACTCTTCCTTTCTCTTCTTGGGCTTGTTAGCTCCTGGTTGAAGCCCTTTGGCCTGAGAGCTGTTTCGGATCTCTGCCAGGACACACTCTTCCCCACTAAGGATTTGTCACTTCATTTAGTCTCTTGAAAATTCTCAGTCTTGCCTCAGCCCAGCTGTTTTTAGTTCCCTTTTTGGTCTAAGGCCCTGGCTCAGGGCAAGGCCTGTCTCACTTGATCAGAGCTTCAGTCCAAATTAGAGCTCTGGGGCTCCTATTTGCCTGGGAAGTGAATCCAGACAGCCTCTAGACATGGTTTAGAGACATACTAGTCTTTGACTCCAAAACATCTGCAACAGCACTAACAGGAGACCCTGAGAGCCGTCAATCCTCACACAGTCTTCAAAAGTGACATGCAGGAATGAATTTTTTGCACTGTAAGCAGGAGTTTCGAGAGAGGCATGCATGTATATGGCAGCAGCAGAGAGAAAAGGACTAACTCCTGCTGACTTGGATCCTTCCCCTCCACTCTATGCAGGCTCTCCCACTCCCATCTTGCCACATATAAAAGCAATAAAGACAAGCACTCTTACTTACTTCAGAATTTTTATCAACTTCTATTATGAACCCATATGCAAAAGTTTCTTGGTAAAAAGTTTTCTTGTTTTCAATATGCTATTGTTGCTGTTGTTATGTGCCCTCGAGTCGGACCCAACTCACAGCGACTCCTCCTTGGGTTTCCGAGGCGGTATCACTATGGAAATAGATTGACCAACCTTCCTTCCGAGGAATGGCTGGTGGGTTTGAACTACCAGCCTTCTGCTTAGCAGTCAGTTTTCAATATATGGTATCCCATAATCAAATTTCACTACATTTGTTCCCTCTTGTCCTGGAAATGTATAGGGTTTTTTTTACTCTTTGATTCTCCTAGAAGAAAAAGTAACTCTATGAACAAAGCTAACCAGTTAGGATTTCCCATTACGCTCCTTCAGGTTTGTTTTTATCTTTTTGTCTCCACCATAAGCCTGAAAGAATTTAAGGTGATTTACATGGAAACATGTATGACACAATGGCATTCATTAAAAGTGGGGCAAGAGAAGAATGAAAAACGAGGGGAAGTACAAAATGTAGCACCAGAAAGGCCATTAAAAATGGCCTACTAGCTTTTTGTATACACTTTCTACATCCAAGAGTGTATCCAGTATTGGTGGAGAGATTGCCCTGAGGCTAGATCTTAGGCCAGACTGACCCTCAGTCAAGATGACGTAGAAAATGGACTGGATTAAAGGTAACTTTCCACTCAAGCCAAATCAATTAGGATTTATCAAACATCTATTCCAGTATTTTAGCTACACGAAAATTTCTCTAGAAAATATGCTATCCTTTGGCTGCAGCTGAGCAGGATATGGTATTCGAAGGGCTTAAACCAGGGAAGGAGAAAGAGTGAAGAAGTCTTCTTTCTGTCAGGGTTCTTCTTCCTATTACTTCCCAGAGGTGATGCTATAAGTTCTACCTTGGAACCAAGGGACAATGCCACCGAATGCTATTATTTTGTTGCAATTCTATTTTCCTTCAGGATATACAGCTTTTAAAAAAAGAACAAAAATTTTTAATTTAAGACTTACTTCGGCTATTTTAATTTCCAATCTAAGCACCGACTTCATGTCATGTTCTGCTCGGGAGTTATTAGCTCCTAAAAGCACAGCAGTATCCACCATGAACTTGTAAAGGGCATCTCGATACTGTAAAAGAAAAAGAAGCAAGTGACCACAACAAAAGCTTATTAGGAAGTACATTTTAAAGACGGGGTAAAACAGAAACAGCAGGTAGAAATGAATGTCCTTCATTTTCACTCTGTACCCAAAGTATGATACAGGTATCATTCAATGCCAAGCAACAATCAACAATGTTGGGAGAAAGAAGAGTGATAGCTACTTGGGTATTGTTTCCATGAGAGACAGACGTCCAGCTGCCAGAGATGAAGAGAACTAGTTTTCTGACTACTAGTGATATTATGGATACATGAAATATTTCCAAATGAGCCCAGAATAGAAAGTTAAAGGTCAGAAGTCCTCTTTCCAAGGCAAGTGAGGCTTTAATAAAATGAGAAAAGAACCGTATGCTCTAAAAGCAGGAGAGATGATCGATGAAGACTGGTGGGAACTGTGATTTATTCTCTTCCAATTCTATTTACCCACTTTCATACTAAAAAGTAAAAGACCAGAGATTGTAGTCCTGAGTCTTTTCTGCTTTGTACAGTATTCACAAAGTCCTCCTCCCTAGCTCAGGGGAAAAGGAGAAAAGAGAAGAATGAGGAAGGGAAACCAAGCAAATAGCAAATATAGAATTTCTTCTCCGTGTGCTCATGAATCAATTATTAGGCTATGTATGTATCAGTTTGGGAGAACATTAAGGGATCTCACTTGGGTGTTATCTTTGATTGCAGATATATTTGTAAGAATACAATACACGAGATATTAAATGACCTCAGAATTGTGCTATAGGAATGCCATTTCCTAACATACATCTTGACTCTATAAGCTATTTTTACTATGGTTATGACTTCAGGACTTACACAGGACTTGACAAATAAACAACAAAAAGAAAAACTGATGCTGTTAAGTCAACTCTGATGCATGGGAAACCCATGAGTGCATAGTAGAAATGCACTCCACAGGATTTTCAAGACTGCAAACTGTCCTCTGAGAGGGTCCGAACTGCCAACCTTTCAGTCAGTAGTTGAGCACTTAACCATTTTCACCACACAAGGATTCTTGGTTGACATAGAGCAGGCCTTTAATAAATATGTGTCAAATCAGTAAGCAAGCTTTCCAAATAACCTTGATTAGAAGCAGTGCTTTACATTTCCCAGTTCAATTCATACAACATTTATTGAGCACCTCCACAATACATAATGGAGCTCTGGTGGCGTAGTGCCTAAGGCATCTGACTGCTAACCAGAAGGTTGGCAGTTCAAATTCACCAGCCACTCCACAGAAGGAAGACTGGGCAATCTACTTACAAAGAGATAGCACCTCAGAAACCCAAGGAGGGGTTCTGTATGAGTTGAATCGAGTTGTTGGCACTGAGTTTGGTTTGGATCCCATTCAAGTGCCTAAGGAACTAGACTGCTAACCAGAAGGTTGGTGGTTCAAACCCACCAGCCACCCCTCAGAAGGAAGACTGGGCAATTTACTTCTGTAGAGATACCACCTCGGAAATCCAAGGAGGGGTTGCTGTGAATCGGAATCAACTCAAGGGCAGTGAGTTTGGTTTGGTTATTTTGTATATGGAGCTCTGGTGGCATAGTAGCTAATGCATTTGGCTGCTAACCAGAAAGCTGGCAGTTCAAACCCACTAGCAACCTACTTCCGTGAAGATTTACAGACTTAAACCCAATGGGGGTTGCTATGAGTTGGAATCCATTTAATGGCACTGGGTTTGTGTTTTTTTTTGTTCTGGACTCAATATATGTACAAGGTTTCATGCTAGGTTCTCAGTGTATAGGTGGGGACTGGGAAGGTGATACAGGTGAAAAGTTAATTACTACTTGAGTCTGATTCTCAAAGACTGTGTGATCAAATGAAGGAAATAAGCATGCAATTACTAACCGTAACAATAAAGAGATCAAAATCAATTCCTTAATAAAGCTGCTAAGTGTTTGGAAACACAAGAGTTGGAGGAGAAATTCCACTCTAGAAAAATCAAGGACACAGCATTTTAGAGAGACATGTTCAGGACAGTGAGGAGTCTCCTGTGAAGTGTAAGTGTGAGCTGCTTTATTCAATGATGAGGAAAAACATATGAAGAAAGGCACATTGGCATCAGGTCATGAAAGGGGCTTTGAATTTCCTCTATGAAATTTAAATCCTGTCTCAAAAGCATAGGAGCTCTGGTGGTATAGTGCCGAAGGTATCTGACTGCTAACCACAAGGCGAGTGGTTCAAACCCATCAGCCATTCCTCGGAAGGCAGATTGGGCAATCTACTTCTGAAGCGATACCACCTTGGAAAGCCAAGGAGCTGTCGCTATGAGTCAGATCTGATTCTATAGTAGTGAATTTGGTTTGGTTTGGTATTAAAAGCATATGCAAAGTGATAAATAAACTATAAAGCATAACCCAAAATGAACAAACAGCAGAAGAGAAACTAGATGAATGGGATCTTCTAAAAATTAAATTTCTATGTGCTTCCAAAGACTTCTCTGAAAGAGTCAAAGGAGAACCTATAAATTAGGGAAAAAATATTTGCCAATGACATATCTGACAAGGCACTTATCCCTAGAATTTATAGAAAACTCCAACACCTCAATAACAAAAAGACAAACAATCCAATTAAAAAATGGGCAGAAGACATGAATAGACCCTTCAGCAAGGAAGATATTCAGGCCGCCAATAAACATATGAAGAAATGCTAATGATCATTAGCCATTAGAGAGATACAAATTAAAACAACAAGATACCATACTGCTCCAGGACTAGTAACAAAGTTCAACAAGACAGAAAATAACAAATGTTGTTGTGGTAGTTATGTTGTATGTCAACTTGGCTGGACCTGGTTGAGTGGCTGGGCAGCTGGTGGCAGTTAATCCCCATGAGAGATAGGCAATCAACTCCATGGTGGGATATACCACAAGCAGTTGAGTAGCTGCATTTGGGATGTGGTCTGCTTTCCGAATATAAGGAGAAGCCTTGGGAATGGTCTCTAGCCTATGGCATGCTTGGACCCTGCATGTAGCCATGTCATTGCTCAGGAGCCTGCTATGCTCTGGCGACCTTGAATTTATAATGGACTGAAGTTAATGGCCTGCCATGTGGTCTGGTATCATCAGGACTGTGCCTTTTTACGTGTTAAACTTGGGGCTTCTCAGTCTCAGCAGCCAGAAGCTGTCTGAGTAAAGAAACACCTCTAGCTCCAGTAGGCCGGGAGCAGGAGGCAGAGCTGGTCCCCAAGGTTGAGGGGCTTTCACCAGCTCCTAGAGCCTGCCACTTTGAACTTGGACTTAAAGCCTCCAAATTGTAATAATAAACTCCTGTTTTTTAAGGCCATCCCATTTCTGGTATATTTCTTGTCAGAGCAGCACTAGGTAAACAGAACAGCTGGCAAGGATGTGAAGAGACTGGGACTCTCATACACTACTGGTGGGACTGTAAAATGGTACAACCACTGTGGAAAGCAGTATGGCAAGTCTTTCAAAATTTGGAATTACAAATACCATTTGACCCAGCCATTCCATTACTAGGTATATATCCTAAAGAAGTGGAAGCCATTACAAGAACAGACATATATGCACCCATGTTCACTACAGCACTATTTACAATACCAAAAGATGGAAACAACTTAGGTGTCTATCGACTGAGGAATGGATAATCAAACTTTGGTACGTACCCACAATTGAATACTATGCAACCCTAAAGAATAACGTAGAATCGGCAAAACACTGCATAACATGGATGAACTTGGAGGACATTATGCTGAGTGAAGTAAGTTAATCACAGAAGGACAAATATTTTATTAGTCCATTACTGTAAAAGTCAAGGAACAGTTTACCTACGGAAGAAATTTTCTTTGTTGGTTACCAGGGGTGGGAGGGGAGGGGTGGGAACACTGTTAGATAGGTAGAGATAAGTGAAGATTTGGGTGAAGAGAAGGGCAATGTACCAAATGTTAGTGATCAACATGGTGACACTGAGGAAGAGGAAGACATAGAGAGGTATATGGGAGGTACAGACAACAAAGATGACCCTTTTGCACAAACAGTACTGCGTGGTCAGTGAATGCAAACATGGGTATACGGGTGGATAGATGGATGAACAGGCTGAACTACTAGGTATGTCTGAGAAGTGGGGAGTATACCCAAGATCATTTGTAGGGTTGGCATACAATGGTCCTATAAGTATATATGTATGATGTGTAAGAATTCCCAGGTGTATAGTAGAGCCAACAAGGGACAAGGTTGTAGTCACTTCTTGTTCACAGCCAGCTACCCAGAGGAAGCGAGTAGTTGAACTGGTGGGCTTGGGAACACAGTCGCAGGGGACATCAAGCTCAACTGGCATAACATACTACACAAAACATTGTTTCACTTCCTACTTTGGCAAGTAGCAACAGGGATCTTAAAAGCTTGCAAGCAGCCATCTGGAGGCAACAATGGGTCTCTCCTCATCCAGAAAAAAGAACAATGAAGAAAACCAAAGATACATGGAAACAATTAGTCCAATCAGCTGGTACACCATGCGATCCTCAGCCTACACAACTATGTGACCAGAAGAACTGGATGGTGAAGGCTACCACTGGCAACCACTCAGAGGAAGATCTCTGTAGGAGATCCTGGATAGAGAGGGAGGACAAGTTAGAACAAAGCTCATGATCATTTAAAAAACAAAAGGACCAGGTTTACTGTTCTGATAGAGCCTACTGGAACCCCTGAGACTATGGCCCCTAGCTGCCCCTTCAGGTGTGGAATTGAATCCACTTCTGTGGCTTCCAGTCAAACAAAAGACAGGCATATGTGGTGAACATTTGCATTTGGTAGATACACTCCTTGGAGAGAAAAATCATGGGAGAATAGAAGGGCTATGTATACACAGGCAGAGAGCTCAGGGGGGTAGGAGTTCATGGGAGAGAAGGACACAGGGAACAGGCAACTATGGGGAAGAAGTGGGAGGAGAGCTGTTGTATTATGGGAGACTGCAGTCAATGTCATAAAACAAAGTGTATGTGAGCTTCTGTGTACAGAAAGTGAATTTGCTCTGGAAACTTTCACCCAAATCACACACACACACACACACATACACACAAAGGATGGTTGCACAACTTGAAGAACAGAATCAATGTCAATAAGTGATACATGTAGAAACTGTTGAATTAGTATGTGTTTTGCTGTATATATCCTCAACAACAAAATAAATAAAATTTTTAAAAAGCAAATTCACTATGTAAATGGCATTGTAGGAGCTGTGTTTTGAGAATGGAACTTGTCTAGTGGTGCTAAATAGGAAATGGAATGAAGGGGAGAGGGGACAGTTAAAAGGCTACTTGCTGTAATCAACAATTAACAAGGACCCAACTTAGCCCTGTAAGGATAGAAAAGAGCGACTGGGTTGAAGAGATCTTTGAAAGCACAATGACTAGGAGTTGACTCATTGGTTGTAAAGGAACTCTGGAGGAATAGTGCCTAAGTCATCTGACTGCTAACCAGAAGGTTGGAGGTTCAAACCTACCAGCCACTCCAAGGAAGGAAGACTGAGCAATCTACTTCTGTAAAGATTTACCACCTTGGAAACCCAATGGGGGTCACTATAAATCAGAATCAACTAGATGTCACAGGGTTTGCTTTGTTTTTTGAATTGGCTATCAGGAGAGAACGTTTTGATTTGCTGAGAGGGTGGGGCCCCCATACTGGCAAAGTTCATTTTGTCCACTTCCAAGAAGGAAAACTTGTCAATCTTGGCAATCTTCTTTGATGAATGTCCTCAGTCATAAAGCTGCCAGGGATCTTGTCTAGTTTCTGGCCCTCCAGAGCCATTTAGAGATAGGGCTTAGAATCAGGGCCTTCTGGGGGCCAGCACGTCTCACTTTAAGTGCAGTGCATTCTCAGGCTGGGCAGAAACCAGAGAGTTCCCTTGGTCTGAGGCTCTTTTGGAAGTTACAGAAAGTCTACAAAACTAACTGAAAGTGTCAGGAATGAATCAGCTATATCATGAGGGCCCTGAGCCAGAGGCTTATCCAGTCTTGATGCCCAGACTTCCAGGGGGAAAAAGGCCTTCACTTCCTGCATTGAGAATTTCATCATCAAAGAAGACCCTGATCATTTCCAGTAAAGAATCAGGACTCTTACAAGAACCTATGAACCTGACAGCAGCCTAAAAAGGCACATAGTTGGATTTGAGTAAAACTTACAGACTTGGCTTCTGTGCTGTTATCAAGATAGTCTTCTCTCACGGCTAGGGAGAGGGTTGCTTGGTCCAGCTGTTAAGACAAAAACAGAAAGAATTCTGCTAGAAATATAAATTCTTAACAAGAGTCATGACATTACCTATGTCCCAGCCATATTTTGAGCTTGTGTCACCATTATAAGAACTCATTGCACTCACAGCTACATACAAATAGGTACTTTCGATATAAAGTGTCAGAGACGTGTTCCTGCTTTCCTGATTCCTGATTGCTAATCCTTTTGAGGGTCTATCTATATTTAATAACACCAAAGCTATTTGAGTAGGCATAGATTTTAGAGATTATCTGGCTTTCCCCTTCATTTGATGGGTGAAAAAACAAAAGCCAGAGAAGCGATAGGACTTTTCCAAAGTAACATGGTTTTGCTGACCTCAGGGTACAATCGTGTCATCTGTCACCAAATTCAGTAACATTCTCACTACAGTTCACTACAGTGAATTGACTAATCACACTTTCTCTCTCTCTACCCCTAAAATACTGCATTGTGAATAATTTTATTAATTAAACGCAAATAAAACAAATACAACTACTACAGTGGAGTCAGATCCAACTCATAGCAACCCTTCTTGGGTTTCAGAGGCAGTATCATCACTATGGAAGTCGATTGCCTAAACTTCCTTCTGAGGAGTAGCTGGTGGGTTTGAAACGCCAGCCTTCTAGTTAGCAGTCAAGTGCCTTAGGCACTACACTACCAGAGCTCCTTTATTAATTAAAAGGCAATCAAATAATAATTTTCTTTTGAGAAATCTTTACAAATTTTAGAACCCTCTCTGGAGAATTTAAGATAGGTGATTACAAACACAAATAATAATGAAAAAATAAGTAGAATTATTCTAAAGAAATGTATTATAAATTTTTTCATTAAAATTGGCAACACCTTAAAAGAAGTTCAGTTGGAAAAAAGATAGTCTTCTCAAAGAAGGTGCCAGAACAATTGGACATTCATATGCAAAAAATGAACCTCAATCCGAACCTCCCACCTTGCATAAAAATTAACTCAAATTCAATCATAGGCCTAAATGTAAAAGCTAAAACTAAAACTTCTAAAGGAAAATCTATATGATTTGAGTTTAGGCAAATAGTTCCCAGACATGACACCAAAACCATAATCCACAAAAGAAAAAATTGATAAACTGTATGTTGTAGTTATGTTTGTGTGTCAACTTGGCTGGGCCTGGTTGAGTGGCTGGGCAGCTGGTGGTAGTTATTCCCCATGATGAGACTGGCAATCAAC